ATTGGATTAGACAAGCTCTCCCTGCAGCTGGGGAGTCCATGGCTCTGCAGTGGGGTGGGATTCATTCCTGCTCTGTGCTTACCAAACTAGAACCTGCTGAGCAATTCTTTACTGTGTGCAGTGACAGAATTTACACTGCCTGGGATGACTCTCATACACACACAGGCCATGCACACACACAGCCTGTTCTTTTCCTGTCCTTCCAACTTCTTAATTCCAAAATGCTTTCAGTTTAAAATTAAAAATCCACATTATTAAACCCAAAAAAACCCACTCTCTCATCACAGGAATAAAAATCCATTACAAGAAGACTGGACACCTCACTGCAGCTCTGCATTTCCTTTGAACGAGCAGCTCCCTCACTCCAGGAAAGGTCTCTGTCCCTCCTGCTCCAGAGAGGGAGCTGTTCTGGGAGAGCTGAGAACTCAGAGGATGCTGAACACTACAGTCAGATCATATTCATCACAAGAGGGACAACCAAGGCATTATGTCCAAGTCCTGTTAATAACTGGAGGGCACAATGAAGGTCTGAGCCAGCTTTTGAGCCCCAGCCCATCACAGGTGTCACCACAACAATTGGCCACGGCTCCCTGTCCATCCAGGACGTCATTTCCCCACTGCCCCTTTAAACAGAAACCCACATGGAACTGAAATTTCGACAACACCACAGCTAAATTATAAAGAAGGGATTATTTCAGCCAAATTTCAATAGCATAGTGGGTGGTCCTCAAGGCTTTTTATAAATACCCTTCCAACATTTTTGTGAAAAGTTGAATAGGAGACCACACAACAACCAAGGATTATGTGGCACTCCTCGAAAGGGGAAAGGGAGGAGAATCAAACATTTCTTGCCCAAGGTTTGTTACTGTGGGATACTATTATGTGAAGCCCTTCAGTTCATATAGAACATCGCATTAAATTACATGGCAAGAATGAATAACTGCTTTGTCACATACAGAATCACACATTATTTTGCTTTTAAAGGTTGTGAAAAGTGAAATAGTGTACCAAATTCAATTCAAAAAAGCCTTGGTTATTTAAATCCAGTCTGCATTTCACCCAAGGTATTCCCTTTGCAGAAAAGTTTAAAGACTCCTAAGGCAGCAGAGCCAAATACCAGGGAATCTTAGGAATGAGCCAATTAAAGTCTCCGGCAACATTAACCTTGCCCACGTAACTGCAGCCCAGTGTGATGTCATGAGGAAGGTGCAGTGTCTCCAGGGTCCCCTTTGCCACCCAACACGACCTTCAGGTGATTAGTTGACAGCCCCCATTCCACTGCCATGGACTGACACAGGGTCAGGCAGGGGAGGGCATGGCAGGAGCACAGGTTTCATTCCAGCTGGGAGGAGCAAGTGTAGGATTGCACATTGTGGTCCACAGCTCTGTTCCAAAGTATGTGTAAAAACCACCCTGCAGCACAGAGCTGGCACTGAACCTTAGTGTGGGTTGCTCCATATCACTGGGAGAGTTCAGAGTCACAACTGGCACAGAAATAATCAGACAGTGGGCAAAGTGCAGTCAAAAGTCCAGGTATGGGAAGTAAAACAACTCAGTAACAAACCTTGCTGGTTTTATGTGGTGCTAAATCCTGCTCAGCTGTCAGGCAACATTCTTCCAATAGTAGAGTGCATAAGGAACCAGAGAGGGGGAATGTTTCAAATCTGAAGTGGTCATTCTTCTACTAAGTTGGATATTTGGCTTTTTGTGTGGTAACAGCAGAGGTACCAAAAAAGTGCTCCTATAGTTCTCTAATGTGTGTGAACTCAGCTGAAGCTCCAGATGGATTTAGTAAAAATTCTGTTTGCACCTTTAGCAGTTACAGGTGTGCTGGAAGATGACACCAAAGACAGAATACCCTTCTGACACCACATGCTCCAGTCTATCCCTTCCATCCCCTCAAAGCATCCCCAGCAGTTATCCCAGGGGAGCAGGGCTGTTGGGAACTAATGTGCACAAGCTCCACACTCCACTGGCATTCCACAACCTCCTCTGCCTCAGTGGAAGGGACCTTCAAGCAGCAGGCAGCCAGTTATCCAGGGTGTACAAAACAACTGGAAGAGGGTCTAGAAGAGACTCTGTCACTGGAGCTCTGTCTAAACTATCCATGAAATCAGCACTGGGGTTCAGCTCCTGCAGGGAGGGGAAAGGCCAGGGGGTATAAAAGATGCCACCTTTCCCAGAGGTTCCTTCTCACTACCTGGGAAGCACTGTGCCTGCTTTCAATCACTTCTGCTGATTGCCTGCTATTAATGTCACTCATCCTCCCAAGTAATTAAGCCACCTCTTTCTTACATGTGCCTTTGTCTCTCCCTGGCACATTTCCTTGTCTAATCCTCTTTTCCAGATGGCATAAGGACGCGGGAGAAGTGTTGCTAAAAGTTGCTTAGCAATGCAACACATGCAAGGGTTGGAAATGCTGACGTCCACACAAGCACTATCTCCCCATCACACATTTCTGCAGAGACAAAGGCTCAACACCCGCAGGGACACCGGGGCCTCCAGGAAAAGAGCCACTGGTGCCCAGAGGGAGCAGGAACAGGGCAAAGGGGAAAGCCCCCAGGCTCCCAGTGATGGGCTCAGTTATGCTGAGGGGGGTTCTGTTTGTCTTGGGTTTTGATTTTCAACGAGAACTGGAAATTCTGCCTTAAACACACCAAAATCCTCATGTTTTAGCAAGGTCCTGTGTTTTCTGTGATTCCCAGGCACGGGATGCCACAGACACAGAGCCACTGAGAGAGACAAAACAGAAAGGGATGTCCCATCCCTGGGAGTGTCCAAGGCCAGGTTGGAAGGGGCTTGGAGCAACCTGGGACAGTGGAAGGTGTCCCTGCCCACAGCAGGGACTGGGACTGGATGAGCTTTAAAGTCCCTTCCCACCCAAATCATTTCAGATTCTATGAAGAGTTCATGACAAACAGGAACTGATGAAGGCAAAGCTGTTTATCAGCAGCTCAGCATCAACCCCAGAAATCCTCCTCTCCTAGGAATCAGTGATAGGGAATTTGTTCCTGTAACTGCACCGTGTAATTGTGGATTGTTTCTAAACTCCGCAGTAAATGTGTTTATATGGAATTTATTTAAACTACAATTAAATGTTATGGGTAATAAATAAGAACATTTAGTACGTGAACAGTAGTAATTTCACAGAGTCACATTATCATATTAATTCATTTCTGCAGCAGCCTATGAAAACAGGTTGGCATGAATCACTTTGTGTTTGAAAAACCTGAGATGTTACAGATTTATTCATCTGAAACAACTACTTCTAAGAAAACAACCAAACAGTAGTGAATTAACTACAGAAATTCACATGCAGCTGTACTCAGGGTAGTCTCTTACTAAACAGAATTTAGTGGTGCCCTCCACAAGCAATTAAAATAGAGCTCAACACTTACTAGTGGGGAAACTCATTCAAGGCCCTTATATCAGCAACAGCATTATTTATATTTTTATAACATAAAAATATACATCATTGTATTGCAAGTATAATCATGATCCAGACTTATTGTGTCTTCAGATTTCATATTTTCCACTCGCATCCAGCATAATTCAGAGTAACCGAAATTCCAGAAGTTTAAATGATTTGCACCAGAACTGAACCTGTTAACAGGTGCATCCCACAGCAGGGCTCCCTCTGGGGAGGGGGAGCAGCAAACACAGCCAGAACACAGCCAGGGACAGGGGGGAACACGGCATCTGCTTCCTGGGAGGTGAGGAGACATCACAGAGAGGAAACCCTTTCATGGCAGAAATTAGTGTTTTGCTTCATTAGCCTCTGCAAACTGCATTCACGTGTCATTGTTCCCTTTCATTCCCAAATGTGTGCACATACAAATGCAGGAAAACCAGACAGGCCGCCACAGGTCACTGGGGTTTGTTCATTTATTTATTTTTAAAAGCAGCTTTCAGGCACTTTGTGTTGTTTCATGTCCCCTACTGTTCAGCTGCAGTGTCTATCTTGCACCTCTTCATAACATTTTTGCCCAATATGAAATCAGCTTTATGGTTAAGCAGGAGATAAATCAGAGCTGTTTGTTATTTTTGGGACTCCTCTGTTGACAGCTGTAATTATTGCTTGTTTACTGGACATTTCATCGACCTGAACCTCTGAAGGTTCCCAGACTACAACTGACAGCATCCACTCACTAAAAATTGCCACTTGCCAGACTGATCTAAAAATCCAGCCCTGACACTGCTGCAGCTAAAACTGAGGACAAATTCAACATTAATGCCATGGTTGAGCCTGCTCTGTACCCCACAGCAGTAATGCTGGGATACCCTGGGGCTCGAAATATTTGCCCACGTTCTCTTTGTTCCAGCAGATTACTTCAGGATGGCCAAGGTACTGTTTCACTAAAGGTAAAAAAAACCCCAAAACAAGACAACCAACCCAGATTTTTCCAAAATTCCTACAGTTTTATGCAGTTTTCGAGCACAGAGCTATTTGTAAGATGTCTGGGTACACTGACTGACCAGCAATAACATCTGACATTCTGAGCAGCCAAACAGATTTCAAAATCTCACGTGCAGAGCCTTACGTGGACGAAGCTGACAGAATTCTCAGATCCTTCACTTAAAAATTTGCCCTTTTCTGGGCTGCAAACCAAGGTTTACCATTTCTGTTATGACCAGGTTTTTGTCCCCTGCGCTGCCCCGACATAATTCCTCTAGTGACGAGCTTTAAGGTCCCTTCCAATCCACACCATTCCAGGATTCCCTGACTCTAATCAGCTCTCACATATTTCCAGTTTATTCCACACTATGTGGGCTCACGTTTTGCTGGAAGCGTGCCTTGGTTTTTGGTGGACTGCAGTGTGCACTGATCCATTACCCCAAGGGGTGGGGATGGGCTGGTGCGAACTGGGGTTTATCAAATCCTGTGCACACAAACCCACAGACTGACTGATCACATAGTTTCTACCAGGTTTTCATTGATGACAGCTCATCAAAGCAGGGCAGAGGTTAAAATTGCAGAATCCCATGGCTGAATCACTCACCTGTAAGGTGCAGCTCACAGGTTTGTCTTAGATCCTCCCCAGAAAGCTGGTCAGCTCTTCCATAAATCTATGGGAACAGGTTAAATAATAAGTAAGTAAGTAAGTAAATAAATAAATAAATAAATAAATAAATCTAACGAGGTTAAAAGGGAACTTTAACCTGTTATTTTGCCTGGAAATAAAAAATATTTATATGTTTTTATTGTTTCATGTTATGCCATATAATTTGAAAGCAGTATGTGGTGAGGGATCACTTATATATATATATATATATACACATATACGTGTAAATATATAATATGTGTAAATAGATAAATATGTATTTATTATATATACCTATGGATATATTATATATATTTTGTATATTTTTATTAGCATATATAGTAGCATGTGATTATTTATCTATATATTGATATATCTACATATTTATATAGTTACATATAAGTGTAAAATTAATATATGTACTAAATAAATAAATAAATATATACCTATATTTGCATAACATAAATATTAGATCAACATTCAGGAGTGTCAGGACTTTTTGTTGTCACTTTTGAGCACATATTGAGTGTAAACTTTAGTCCCAAGTGCTGCGGTGCCAGAGCAGCCACTGAGCCTGAAGAATTTACGGATTCCGCCCCAAAAGAGGTGCTGGGGAGACGCCCAGTGGTGCCCAGCGGAGGTACAGAACTGCACAGACCAGCCCGTGAGCAGTGAGAGGGGAATAAATGAGGATAAACTGTAATAAATTCGAGCCCCCCCCCGTTTGTTTGTCAGTGTTTCTGTGGCAACGGGACAAACCCACCACAGCGCGTGTGGGGACTTTTTGTGTCACCTCTGTCTCTAACAACTGTTTCTCATTTTCTCCTACCGATTTTCATTCCTAAGCGTTCACGTGTTCATGGAATGACACACTGAAATCCTTAAAACTTCAAAATCCCTTAAACACCTTTTCGCCTCATTTCGTGAGGGCGGCTCCGCTCGGCCCCGTTCGGGTCGGGCTCGGCTCTGTTCGGCTCCGTTCGGGTTCCGCTCGGGTCGGGCTCCGTTCGGCTGAGCTCGGCTGGGCTCGGTTCAGCTCGGCCGCATTCGGCTCAGTTCGGCTTAATTCGTCTGGGCTCGGTTCGGGATCGCTCCGTTCGGGCTTCGGGCCCGGCCCCCCGCCTCAGCCCCGCCCCCCGCGCCGTCCGCATTGGCCGCGCCGCGCCGCCTCAGCGGCGCTCCCCATTGGCTGCGCCGGCGCGGGGCGGGGCCGGGCGCCCCTCAGGCAGCGGGGCGGGCCCGGTCGGCGCTCGTCCCGCCGGTGCCGCCCCGTCTGTCCCCCGCCCGTCCCGCCCGCCCTCACGCCCGCGCCGCCTCCCGCCTCCCCGCCGGGACCGCCTCGCTGCCCCCGGGGCCAACCGCGGGGCCGCATTCGGGCTCGTCCCACCCCAGCCCCGGAGCGGAAGCGCGTCCCGACGGGCCGCCATATCGGGTGTGTGGTAGGGGCGGGAGCGGAGGAAGGACCGGCTCGGCCGCCTGTGAGTACTGAGGCCGCCCGGGGCTGTTGCGGGGCGCGGCGGGCAACTGCGGGCCGGGACCCGCCTGGGGGGGGCGGAGCCCGGGGCGAGCGGCCCTCGGGGTGCGGGGGCTGCGCGGGCTGGGCCTCCCCGGGCCGGTCCGCCCGGCCCCGCTCCAAGCCGCTCCCGCGCTCGTTGGACCGGGCTGAGCCCAGCCCAGGCCGGGGAAGTCCCCGGGAGCCGCAGGTGCTGCTCGGCTGCTGCCGGAACGGATAAAATGAAACAGTGTCTTTTTTTAGCGTGAAAAACCCAAGCTGTGCCACCAGCGTGGTCGTGCCCCGTGGTTGTCCATTCACCCTGTTACAGTAAATCCCTCGAGTGTGTTGCTCTTCGAAGGTGTTTCCTCTACGAGATAAGGAAGGCTGTGCGAGCAGGAGTGTGGGTTTGCTGCCGGTGTCCTCCGTTTGTATTTTAACTTCAAGAAAAACCTGTCACATAATCAGAGCTCTCTGGAAATTCGGCTCGTCTGTGTGTCACCGCAGAAAGTGAATGTTTTTACTGCCCCAGGTTCTGGTTTTGAGCACTCAGCGATCATGTTTGTAGCGACATTACCATAACAATTGTGGTGAAAAGGTCATCTATTAAGGTCCTGCTTTCACCTGCCTGGTGTTTTCAGCAGAGGAAACTCCTTTAACATGGTTTAGTTTTAGCAGCAGCCTCAGTTTTGCTGGCAGTGACCTATTCACTCGTTTGTTGTATTAATGTGTGACTTTCTGATTGTTGGCTGTGCTGAAGGGTTGTCACAGCTCCTCGTGCTGAACAGTGAATTTATGTTACATCTGTAAGAAAGATGGAGAGAGGCTTTGGACAAGGGCCTGGAGGGACAGGACGAGGGGGAACAGCTTCAGACTGCCAGAGGGCAGGGAGAGATGGGATGTTGGGAAGGAATCCTTCCCTGGGAGGGTGGGCAGGCCCTGGCACAGGTTGCCCAGAGAAGCTGTGGCTGCTCCATCCCTGGGAGTGTCCAAGGCCAGGCTGGATGGGGCTTGGAGCAACCTGGGCTGGTGGAAGGGTGTCCCTGCCCATGGCAGGGGGTGGAATGGCATGAGATGGTCTTTAAGGTCCCTTCCCACCCAAACCATTCCATGATTGCAACTGGTTATATTAATTATTCCCTTAAACCAATAAAACCCCAGTGTTCTGAACTGTAGAGAGCCCCTCTGCAGTAGAACAGTGTCAGCTGGTTGTGTTTCTTGGGCTGCTCTGGAAGAACTGTGTATTTGAGAAACAGTCATACATAATCACATATAATTTTTTTCACCCAGCAAAATCCCTGCTGCAGCAGAAAGCCTTCAGGAGCCTCACATCTTGATCTTCCACTTGCTCTGCACAGGGTGGCATTTACAACACTGTCACCTTAGGTCTGCCTGTAGCCCATATTTGCTATATTTGGATGTATCTGGACAATTAATTTTGAAAATGTGAGAGTTTTCATTGGTCTCTGGTCAATAGGCTGAATATCTTTTGGTTACAGTCCTTGATACTTCAGGACTTCTAAAAAAAAAAGAAAACCAGAATAAAGCCCAAAATGATGCTCAGCTGAGAAGGCTGAGTAACTTCTGCCCTGCAGAGAGTGGGGAGAGGAATAATCACTTCCTTTTGCCTGTAGTGGAAAAATCTGTATATTGTATGAGTTTCTGTTTGATTCTTTTTTTCTTTTCAACTCTAGCTTGAATTAAAGTGGACTCAGCTCCTGGAGCCTCCTGATGAAACCCCTTAGCTTTTGAAGTGTAGCAGGACTCTTTTTTTTTTACTTCCTAATGATTCCATAGGATGTAGTTTTCGGATGTCTGCAGGAAAAATACACAACTTTTTGTGCCTCCCCAGATTGTCCTTGGTCTCAAATTTTCTGCAGCAGTCACTCATATTGCAGCATCTAAGATGATGTACTGGTTTTTTTATTTATTTATGTTCCACACAGCTTTATTATCCTCTGAGGCTCTTGAGTGGGCTGAAAGTGCTCCCAGTATCCCAGGGCTACATAGTCCCACCCACAATTGAGGATTCCAGGAAGTAGTGTCAGGGATTGCTTTCGGTGATGTGGCAAAACGTTTCTGTTTAGAATCGAGTTTATTTGGCCTGTACCTCGAAGGGAGCTGCACAACCCAGTTAACCTTAACTGATAAGGAAAATAAAGCTCTTAAATCGGTAGCAGAAGCGTGGGCTGAAAAATAACCCCCTTGGTTGATGTTTTTACTTGAGTTCGGGCCCTTTGACTGCACAGTTTTGCTCCTGCAGAAAACTTTCCTGCTACTGCTCAGCTCTTCATGCTCAAGAGACAGAGAAAGTCGTTGCCTTCTTTCTAGTGTGAGCAAGGTTCTGGGTTTGGTGCTTTGGCAGAGGCTGAAAGCACTGATGTGCAGTCCTGAACTTCCTTGTTCACTGTCTGGCTACTGAGCACTTAAAATCCAAAGCAGCTTTAAAAAAAATATATGTATATTTATTTTGATTTTGTTCTTTGCCTTTGGAGACTGAGGGGGCAGGAGGGAGGTGCTGCAGGTCCTGTCTCACCATTTAGATGTTGTAACTCAGCCTCTGCCTTAGCAAGGGGGTGTCCAACCAGGCTCCTTCCTGCATTTCTCTATGGGTTTCTTTATTTCCCTCCCAGAATGGACTGCATCCTGTCTTGCCTTTGTAAAACACCCTGTTCTTTGCTGCCTTGGACAATTACTTTAGGAAAAAATTAATTCATTTTTGCATAAGTGTCCCCTCTTTGAGAATACTTCGTTCAAAATACTTGTTTCGAACAGTGCAAGCCCAAAGAACATTGTGTGTAAATGCTGGTTCAGAGAATGTGCTTTAAAGCTTTCTGAGCTCAGATTTTGGGTCTCAGTGTTCCCTGTGTCCCATGTTTTGTTTCCACAGCCACCATGTCAGAAGGGGACAGCATTGGGGAGTCTGTGCATGGAAAACCCTCCGTGGTCTATAGGTTTTTCTCAAGACTTGGACAGGTTGGTTTGGGGAAGGATTTTTCTGACTGCTTTAGGAGTAGATCTCACTGTGGCTCCTTAAGCTCATTACTTTTTGGATGAGTTGTTAAAATGCTAAAATCTTCAGATTTCTTCTGAAGCCTTTAAAAACTGATAAATATTACACATAGCTTACTGGAATGTTTAAGGGGTGTATGTGTGACGTTGCACAGTGAAAATATATGTTGTCAAAAACAAGGAGTGACTTCAGATTTCAGGTCAAATTGATCTTAAGGAAAGTAACTTGCATGAGATACAGAAATATTAAATTGCTGTACAATGCCCCAAGCATTAGGGGTTTCATAAAAACACGGAACTTTTCAAAGTACAGTGATGTGTGATTCAGTTTATTCATGAAGAATACAGATATTTCACATTACTGCCCTTCCCAAAATAGTCTTCCCAAAGGCTTCTCTGTGCCAGTGCTGCCCTGTGATGAACTGTGCTCACTGTGCCTCCTGTATTTCACGTGTCCCTTTGTCTCCTCCCAGATCTACCAGTCCTGGTTAGACAAATCCACCCCCTACACGGCCGTGCGATGGATTGTAACGCTGGGGCTGAGCTTTATCTACATGATTAGAGTTTATTTACTGCAGGTGAGCACTGCACTTACTGCCAAGGGATTTTTACTATCACTCCTGGCCTGTGTGTCCTGTTAAGAGTATTTTTGAAGTGTGGTGTTACTTTAGAACCACGTGTGGTGTCGTTTAGCTCATGGTAGAAGGTAAATTGGATAACCTGAAGAGAGAGCAGCTCTTGTGTACATGAGGGATTTGCACTCCTCTTGTGTTCTAAGACATGTTTTGATAGGTGAGAATTGTTAATATTTTTATTTAATATTGTTAATATTGTCAGAATTGTTAATATTTTTATTTTTATGTTGTTAATATTCTAGTCCAGAAACCTTTCAGTTAAGGAGAGGAGGTAGAAAAGCTTCTCAAGGAAGCAAAGAACCCAGGTTGTTTAATCTTGTTAAAAAAGAAGTATCAGCAAGTGTCTTTCAGGAAGACTTTAACCATGGCTGTTCCTCCCTGTGCAGGGTTGGTACATTGTGACATATGCCTTGGGAATCTACCACCTAAACCTCTTCATAGCTTTCCTGTCGCCAAAGGTAGACCCCTCTCTAATGGAAGACTCAGGTATGATGAACAGTTCATTTTGCCACAGTTCAGAACTTAGCCAAACTTCCAGACCCCTTGGGCTGATGAAGTCTGTAAAGATGTGCAATGTCAGCAGGACGTTGTGTTTTTTAGACTTGGAAAAAATCTGTGCAGCTTCACATCAAGAGTTACCATAAAATTTGTCCTCTCTTGCGTGGGACTTGAACATATTCCATATTGTATTAGTTTTCTGTGTTCTGAAAGGAGCTTTATGTGACTTAAATTCTCCCCATAGTGACCTGGCACTCATTTCTGTTCCTTATTTTCTTTTGGGGAATCAGTGCTTAGTTACATTAAACTGTGACTGGGATCTAAGTGTAGCAGTGGAAATTGGGTGTGGATTCATTTTGTCATTTTTTTAGGGTTTTTTTTTAAGATAAAAAGTAAAAAAAAATCAGGAGTCTGAATAGTGTGGAAAGCTACTGTGAGGGGGTTTGTGGTTTGGTTTTTCCCTGTTATTTTCAGATGATGGTCCTTCCTTACCTACAAGGCAAAACGAAGAATTTCGGCCTTTCATTAGAAGGCTCCCAGAATTCAAATTCTGGTGAGTGGATCCGTCTGCCCATGCTCTGGCTTTGCAAAATACAAATACCTGCCTCTAATGAGTGGTAGCTGGGCTCCAAGGACTGATTGTGGCTGTTGTTTTCCAGGCACTCTGCCACCAAAGGAATCCTGGTTGCCATGGCGTGTACGTTCTTCGAGGCTTTCAACGTGCCTGTGTTCTGGCCCATCCTGGTGATGTACTTCATCATGCTCTTCTGCATCACTATGAAGAGGCAAATCAAGGTAACCCCCCAGCAACAGGGAGCAGCTTTTGTGGGGGCAGGAGGTGCAGCTTTGTTCCAGCCTGGCCGTGCCCTTGGTGGGAAATGTGCTGCACACACTCGTGGTCCTGCAGCAACTCCAGCAGCCAGCACCTGGACATGAGTTGTTTGTGCTGTACATCTGCAGCTCTGAGCAGCTTTTATTCTCACTTTCAAAAGGGTTTGATTTTAGAATGCAAGATCAGGTGTTTATGCAGGTTCTCATCCACTTCCTGTCCTAACTGTGGCTATTTTTAATGAAGAGGTGTGGTACAATCTCTGATGGGTGAAAAGGGAAGTTCTGACAAGTTGGTGCAAGAAAGTAGGTGAGGGAAAGAGGAAGCAGAACAGAGACAACTCATCCTGACCATTTTAACAAGTTACTTATGGTTTGTTGGCATTTTAAAAAGCTATTTTTTTTCCCAGACATTCAGAATTTTGGACAGAAACTGTGATTTGAGTGGGAAATTTAAGATTAAAGGGTAGTAAAGAATTAGTTCCTCTGTGCTCTGCCCAGTTTCCTGTGGTCCCTCAGTCAGTGACCTTCACTGTACTGTAGGAGTTGTTGGGTACACCCAGATTTGAGATTTGTGAGGCTGATCTCATACACCTGTTTGGATTTAAACTGGTGTAGAATGAACTGCCTTTCTAGGGGACGATGTGCATTATAAAACATTGTGTCTAAATATTCCCCAAGTTTCTTGCCTCAACACTTGATGTTTTCTCTTTGCAGCACATGATAAAGTACAGATATATACCCTTCACACATGGCAAGAGGAAATACAAAGGGAAGGAGGATGTGGGGAAGACCTTTGCCAGCTAGAGGGAGCAACACCCTGCTGACCAGTTCTACTGCTCACTAAAGGAACGATTTTGAGCCATTGTAACAATGCCTTTTTTCTTCATAAAATGATTAACAGAGTGGTGACAAAGCAGTTGAATTTTCATTTTACGAGGATCTTGCTATTTTTATCTGAAGTATCAGCTCAGTTTCTTGAGGAAACTGGCATTCTAACCAAATTGCATTGAGTTTATTCTCTTTTTTGGAAGAAGTTGGAGAAACTTTGGATAATCCCACGGATCTGGGCTAACGTATTCCTTTCAAGATCCATTGCACTGGAGAGGTTAATGGCCTAGAGCTGGATGTTTTTACGTAGCTCTCCTGCTCACCATCACCCTGAAGTGCTGGGCACATCTGTGGAGGAAAGTGTAAGCTGGCACACGTGATGCTGTTCTCATAGAAACCTTCAGTAGACTTAAATAGCTGCAGAACTTAAGCCAGTTTCCTAAATGCATGGTATTACTGAGTTATAACCCAATAGGTAGGAATAAGAAATCTACTAAATTATGGGTTTGCAGTAGGGGAAAAAAAATACTCCTTTAGCTTCTAAAGCAACTCGTTTGTGTTGGGTTTCAATGCCAGTTTCACTGTTCCATCTCCGAGCAGATGCTAAAATTGGGCTCTTTCGTGATGACTCAGAACTTTGTTCAAACTCTTATCACAATTTCCTTTGAGGACCTGGAATTATAAAAATATATATTTTAATTGTTCTTAGTTGGAGTTTCTTTCGTACTTAATGGTTTCATGAATAATTTAAGCTGACTTCATGCAGCCCCACAGAAAGTACCCAAACTGGCCAGAACAGACAGTGGTGGGGGTTTTAACACAGATTTTCATTTTATAAGGGGGGGGGGGGGAAATAAGACATAAATGACCTGCATGTAAACTTTTTCATGTGATACGACTGCAGTTTTATTAAGTGACTTTTTAATTCCAAAATTTATTAAAAGACAGTGTTCCCCTTTACTTGTTCTCTATCTTTATATACATCTATTGATCTAACAGCATTTATGGCTCCTTTTCAGTAATGGTTACCCTCAACTTACCTTCATGCAATGCCTTTTCCAACTCCTCAGGGACCATTCACTTGCAGAAGGTAGGAAAAGATCAGCTTTTTGAAGATTCTGAATGGAGAACAGTGGCAGCTTCAACAGACACCTAATTGGGAAATAGATGTAGGCACCTTTTCCTCTGGTTTTGTCAAGTGAAGTCTTTGTGGAGCTCTGGAATTCAGCAGTCCTGGGAACATGACAGGTAGTTTTAGCTCACATTGACCCGTTGCTTTCTGTTTGTTTGCATGTGTTTTGTTTTATTAGCAGTGTGAAAACTAGGAATGTAAACACTTAAAATTATGGAAACAGGATCCAGAACAGGCCTTATAAAAGCACCAGTCGTGGATGTGGTTTGTTGCCTAAAAAGGTGAAAGCCCTGACTTGGAGAAGCTGTTTTCAGGCTTGCTGGAGTTTCTGAATAATATGGAGAAATCAGGGAGAAAACCAGGACATTTATTAGTATTAAAATTCCCAACTGGGATGACTCCTTCTGAACAGCTGAGTGTTAACAACACTTTTTAGAAACACATTTTTATATGGTCAGGAACCATATCCAAAGAGACAAGGCTAGAGGCAGAGAGGGCTTTATTTGCAACCCAGGACTGAAGTGCCACCTTGCCATGGGCATTTCCAGGTCCTTGAAGCCTTTCCTTGGCCCAGCTGGGGCTGTGTGGCAAGTCCAGAGTGGGAGCTGAGGCCCTGCCAGGGCCCAGGATGGGTTTGTCCTTCACAGCTGGTAGTGCCGTAGGTAGATCAGCTTCTGGGGATGGAACTTCTCTCTGCACAGTGGGCACTCTGCCTGCAGAAAAGAGATCAGATACAGGACATACCAAATAGTTCTACTGAAAAGTTTAAAGGCATCCAAATATAACTTCAGCTACTTTTAGAAAATAATCAGCATCCAAAATTCACAAACCATTTTTCCAGTCCTGTTTGTGGTACGAGCTTTTGCCACATAAAGCACTCTGAGCTGGCCCAGTTTAAGCTGCTCAGCTTATTTATATATTATTTAAATGTATTTATAAATATTTTTATTTATTTATATAAAATTCATATATTTATAAATATATTTTATATATTTATAAATATAATCCCCCTGTTTATAAATGTTTACATGTAACCTTCCCAATGTAATGTTGGTCGTTCTGTTTCAGTAAACATGTCCTGGTAACTCTGGGTGCCTCAGTGAGAGAAGGGGTACAACAGCCAGGCTGAGGGGTGTTTTCAGGTGGAGATTTCAGCAGTGTGTGCCTGTCCCTGCACTCACCCTGGTGTTGCACCAGGCAGTGATGCACTCCCAGCAGAAGAGGTGCCCACAGGGGGTGGCTGTGCTGTGCCTCCGCTCCTCCAAGCACAGGGTGCAGCGGGACTGGCGCCCAGGAGCCTTGTCCTTGCTCGTGTTCCTAATGAACAGAGTCACAGGTTAATGATGCAGCCTGCCTGGGAGAGATAGCTGGTAACACCATCCTAAAGTAACCACCATCTTCAGGTACTAACCCTTGCTCAGAACCACCAAAGCATGAAAACTAAGAGATGCTTAAAACAGCTAGGAATTAACTTTGCTAATTAATTAAACATAACATCAAGTTCTAACTTAAATCAGTGTGTCAGTCCCGTGCTCCCCCTGTCCGTGGCAGCTCTGCCATTCCCACCACTGCTCCCCCCTCTTTCCTAGTAAGTAAAAGCCACCTCTCACTTCTGGTGGGCGAGGTTGCGGTGCAGCTTCCACTCCTGCCTCGCCCTCTGCCTCTGTTTGAAGCTGTACACCTGAACTCCAATGGTCAGCAGGAGATGGAAGAGGGAGATTATTCCAAGGAACTTGTAACTTGTCCGGACACTCTGATCTTCTCCCTGCAGTCCTCCAAAATGCAGCTGTGGGATTCACAGAAACAGAGATGGGGTTTTATGAAACTATTCCCCCCCTCTTTCAATAAACTTGATTTGGGATTCTCATTTCTGTCCAAAAAATTGACATGTTTGTAGGGCTTCTCAAGCTGCTGTGTCTGAGGAGGTCTGATCACCTTCAGTCAGCCTGGACTTAGCTGCTGGCTATGCAGGATCAGTTGTCTGTCTGTCCATCAAAACTGCAGCTTTAATTGTTTTGATTTTCTTGTGTCACTGAGCAAACAGTCAGACACCTCTTTTCCACACCAACACTGGGAACTGTTGAGGAGTCTTGTGTCTATAGGCATTTCTGGGCCAGTGGCTGATGGGGTTTTTTGCAAAGATACAAAATTAAGCTCTTTTTACAGAAAAATGCTCTATAAATGTGCACTGGTTTTTGTTCAGAACTATATTTCATTATTTCCTGCGGGTTTATTAAGTCCCTTCTCACTTTTGGTGTATTTGTGGCAGACACACTGAAGTTACACAGGGTCAGAACTTACAGCTTCTGACATTCACATTTATTACCCGTAACCTCTCGACTGCAGGGATGCAAAAAACTTCCCTCCCATTATAATCACCCACAGCCACATCCCTATCCCTGTTACACACGTGGCATCCCAGGAGAGGCCACAGCAGGGCTGTGGACACCACATCACTCACACACGGGACCAGGAACACGCCACTCACACACGGGACCAGGAACACGCCACTCACATACGAGATGCCCGCGACCCTTTTCGAGAGGTGGTAGAAGGTGCCGTGGATGTAGAACAGCGCCAGGTGGAGCCGGTGCAGCAGGGGGATGGATTGTTTCAGGACATACACAGCTTGGGAGGCCGTTTTCCTCTGCTGCTCCGGGAGCTGCCCCAGCCGCCTGCGGATCCAGCTGCGCAGGAAGGTCCTGCTGGGCAGTGCCGGTGCTGGGCTGCTCCCGGGGCTCCGGGACTCCTCACCCTCCTCCTGCAGCTCGTGCTCCAGGTGCAGCAGGGCCTTCTCCAGGCAGTAGGGCACCACGGTGTGCAGGGAGATGAAGGCGGCCCGGCGGAGCAGAGAGGGCACTTTCTTCCTGCTGGGGTCCACCTGAATGATGTTCACATACTCCTCGCCCAGAGTCTGGTACCCTGGGTAAATGTGCAACAGAGACCAGGGTGAGATGGCAACTGCAGGATCCGTCTGTGGGGACAGCCTGCTCAGCTCACAGCTCAGCAGGCTTTGCACTCTGAGAAATAATTGCATTTTTTCATGTTTAACAAGTGTTTTGGTTACATCAGCATCTGCAGCATCGGTATCAGCAGCGGATGGAGGACTAAAGTGGGGTACCTGTCATGGTGTCAGACAGCCCTTTTGTAAAAAGCTTTTGCTTTTAGAAGAACATGAATCTGTGCTGATAAAGTGCTTGGACAGTTTAGTGGTTTCACGTTTAATAAAAGGTGTTTTAACAGACCCCCTCGTTAAAGAGAACCGAGGAGCAGCCTCGGCAGGTGATCCCCAGCACAGCCGCTGTAACGTACTGGGAGAAACGACAGAGAAATGACAAAAACTGGTAGCAAAGGTTACCTGAGAGCGTGGTGAGCACGAAATAGGCCACATCGGAGAGCAGCTCCACCTCCCGCCGCCACGTGCAGCAGGGCCGGGCACCTGCGGGACGGGGCGCTGTCCACCGCCACCCGTGCGGCCCAGGGGCCGCTGCTCCGGGCGCGGCACCAGCCCATCGCCCCTCCGCCCCCCGGCATGACCCGCCAGCCCGCAGCGCGGTGCCGGCCCGCTGCGCAGCCGGCCGGTTACAGCTCGTCCTCTGCCCGCCCCGCACCAGCCGCGCACGGGCCCGCCGGCGCCATCGCCCCCGCGCGGACGGACACGGCGCGCGGCCCGAGCGGCTGCGGCCCGCGGCACCCCGGAGGCGGAGCGCCGCGCGCCGCCGCAGGGATATCGCGTCACCGCGGCGGGCTTGGGGGGGCGGGAAAGGGCGGAAAAGGGGAGGGGAAAGGGGAGGGAAAAAGGGAAAGGGAGGGAAAAAGGGAGGGGAAAGGGAGAAAGGGGAGGGAAAAAGGGGGAAAGGGGAGGGGAAAGAAAAAGGGGAGGGGAAAAGGGGGAAAGAAAAAGGGGAGGGAAAAGGGGAAAAAGGGAAAGAAAAAGGGGAGAGGAAAAGGGGAGAGAAAAGAGGGAAAGGGAAAAGGAGGGGAAAGGGGAGGGGAAAAGGGCGGGAAAAGGAGAGAAGAAAGGGGAAAGGGAGGGGAAGGGGCACCTAACACAGGGTAAGGGAAGTGTGAGGTGTTTGGGGTCTCAAAGTGCAGCTCCCGAGGGCTCCCGGGCGGGTGCAGTCCCGCTGGGAGCGGGTGCGGCACAAACTGCGCCGGGGACGGTTCCCTCCTGTAGGATTGTTCCCTCCTGTAGGACGGTTCCCTCCTGTAGGACGGTTCCCTCCTGTAGGATTGTTCCCTCCTGTAGGACGGTTCCCTCCGCAGCTGCAGGAGCGATGGAATCAAGGGGAAGCGCTGGGGCCTTTTATGTAGCGCAACAATAGAGGGCGCGCCTGCATAAGGAAAAACCCCGCGGGAAAGGGGCTGTGGAATGGGATGGTCCCACGGTAACTTCTGAGGATCTGCTGCGTCCCAAAAGTAAGAGACTTGAAGCTGCCACCCTAAACGACAACATTAAAAAAAAACCCCAAAAACCAGAATTAAAATTAGCTGACCAATCCTTGAATGATTTTGTTCGGAATTCCAGTTCGTTCCCAGGTGTTTCGGTGTTCGTGGTTTCCACGGTGCCTCTCACGTGTCTCAGCTGTTGAGAAAAACACCAAACAGGGGGAGAGTGTGATTGAAATTAGAGCACTCGATAACTTTTCTCACCACAAAAGTATTGGTTGCTATTTCGACAGGCAGAACAAGAAGTGCATCCTGACCACGGTTTCATTTTGCTGCTGACTTATCTTAGGGCTAGATCCAGGTTGTGAACACTTGTTAGAGGAGTCGACCCTTGTGCTAGGCATTTGTTCTCTGTATGAGAGAGAGGTGTTTTATTAAGTGGGCAGGGTACATATTTATTGCTGTTTTATTGAGGTGGGTGAATATTGTGTTCTCATTTCATAGGTCAAGAAAGCAAAGAAGAGCTTGAGAGCTTTTTTTTCCAAAGCTGAAATCCTGGCTAATGACCACTTAACTATTAGACTGGAAACCATTTATGAAGCTGAAGACAAGTTCAGGCATCTGAAGGTCAGATTTTCACTCCTTAAAAGTTTGTTATTTGGGGGGGATTGTGTGGTAAATGACACTCTATTTCTTTTTGGTGGAGTTAGTTATTTTTAACAGCACAGTCAAAGTGTGGTTTCTGTGCAGACTTAATTTCCATGGGATGCTTCTCTGCTTTTCCTTCTAACAGACCCGACAGGGGAGTGAGTTGCTGCACCGACGTTACCACAAGGAAGTCCAAAATGTAAAACAAACTCGGTGCACAGCAATGATTAACTTTTCCTCCCACAGGCTGCTTGTCTGTGCATTATAAAATATGATTTTACCTCCGCGGACCTGTTAGGAGAGAAGAGGTTCGGAGTGCAGCTTTCAAACAGGGCAGCAGGCAGATGTTTCAGTTCCCAACCTGAAGAACAGGTTCTGCAGATGGAAAGGGAACGAAACGTCTGTGCAGGATTGTTACCACCCTCCGGTCCCTTCTGCCTCCTCCCACTTTGAACTTGTTACCCTGGAGCTGAACTGTTTGAACAGGGGCTGTAAAGCCGCTTTGTGATCAGAGAGCTGAGAGCCCTCAACATGTAAAACCGGGGCGGGATTTCGCTCCCTCCCCGCAGGTCCCTCCTCCCGTTCTCGTCCCGGGGATGAAGGTCCCGATGTTCCGCGCACAGGAGCCGGGACAGCCCGTCCGCCCAGGAGAGACAGAGGTGTGTGCTCGGGGTTTGCTTGGCTACTTTCTCTTCCAGCGAGCATTTGGGTGTAGTTTTAACACTTTTTCTCACTCTTGGGCGTTAGGAACAAAGTTTCTAAGGGGCTACCGCAGGAATTGTCCAGCCTTGGGCTTGCAAGAGTTTGCTACTACTTTTGCTTTTCTCTCTCTCTCTCTTTTTTTTTTTTTTTTTTCGGAAGAGAGAGAATGTTTTGGTCCTTGGTCCTTGGAATTCTGTTAGTCCTAGGTTTTTAGACTCTGAGCTTGTAGGGATGAAGCAAACTTCATTTGTGATTCAGGTTTAGGCTTTTCTAACTGGAGAAATGCATTTTCTGGTGTGAGAAACCAGTGCATTCACTCTGAAGTGATAACCTGAGCCCTGAGCTTTCACAGGTGTGCTGAGCCAGAACGAAAAGTGACTTGGATAGGAGAGGTTGGATATAAAAGAAACTTCAGGTATTTAAATAAAATAGTGGTTAAGCAATATATGGTTCTGTGACTGAACAGCAAAGTCTTAACTTGGAAGGAAAGACATGCACAACACTTCAAAAGAGTATGCATTTCTTTTTCTCTTTTTTTTGGTCATTCTTCTGGGCTATGGAGAAACCTTTCATGGCAGGAAAGAACAGAAAATTCCGGGTTACAATTGCAGAGATATGGCAAATAGTAAGGATGGATGGATTGCCAGTGCTGCATCTGCCTCCAGTGCCTCGGGCTCCAGAGTTTAGATGTAGGGCTGAAACATACCCCGAATCCTCAGGGTGATAATTTCTACAGTCATGTTTTGTTTCATGGCAGAGGTGGGTTAACTGCTAAAAAATAACCTAGAAGTAAAGTATGATTCACTCCTGACTGTGGTTAGTCTGAGATAGGAAACTGATGCCGTGTTCAGAATGTAGCTCAAAGTTAACTCGCTTCTTTATTGTTCAAAAGAATGTGGTCAAAGTTTTGGCTATTAAGAGAGCTTTTTCTGTCCTTACTGAGCAGGAAGATACTTCAGCTGGGGGGAATTGTCTTTTGCCCAGTCAGATTAGCTGTGGGGAACAGTTTAGTGCAAATGAAGGACAGGGCTTGTGAGGGCCAAGGAAATGTGAGTTATCTCATTGCAGGCCAGGCTGTGGGGGCTCCTGCCTTCTGAGGACCTCAGAGCCAGTGTGAAGGACAGGGAGAGGTGTTCCCTGGGCTCTGAGCTCCTTGGCAGGAGCACTGCCTGGTCCAGGCTCTGCTCTGGGGCACTGAGGGCTCACTGTGTAGAGAACTGAGGGCACGACCAGGTACAGACACGTTTGACACAGCAGAGCAGTTAACAGGGGCTTCTTCACTGAACAAGCTCTCCTACCAGAACTACCTGTCACAGAGAATACATAAACCTGTACAACTGAACCATGAAACACTAGGGCCTGCTGACTCTTATCTTCAATGCCTGTGTTGGGAAGATGTGCTCCTGTAATGCATTGTATTTTGATTGTTCTCAGCTCAAAAAATCTATCATTCTGATCAGTAGTTTGTCCAGTCTTTATGTTAGTCTTGGAAAGTTATTTTTTTTGTCATCTCAGCTTATGGAGATTCTCCTCTTATAGAGCCACAAGTCTTCTAGGGGCACAGATGCATGGATTTCTTTGTTAACTCATGCCTTGTTATTGGTAAGTAAAAAAGACTTTTCAAGGGAATGTCTTGCTTGCAAATTTTGGTGAAAACCATTAAATTCATGCCCTAGAGACCACTGCAAAATTTTTAGCCATGCATTGCTCCTGGTTGCTTTTTGTTCTGGCCTTGCAAAAAAATGATGATAATGTTCTAGTTTATGGCCAAGCTCCTTCTACATTATCTGAAAAGGCTTTTGTTTTTTTCTTATGTGGCCTTCACCATTTCTGTAATTTAGCTCAATTAAAAGCTACTCCACACTCACCCTAAAATGTCTGAGAGCACCTTGGTGAATGGTGCTGCAGGAACAATAAAGCAATAAAAAATATAGGGTGTAGGGTTCTGTACTCACAATTTCACAACACCACAATGTCAGTTTGGTTTTGAAATAAATTGCACAGAGCCCTCAGTTCCTAAATATAGTGTTTGAAGGGGCCAAATTGTTTGTGAATATCACTGGAACTTGTTCATTTGTCCAGAGCTGAGAAAATGGCTGTATAAATGAACTTGAGTGGGTAACAGGATGAGGCTGAAGAGATTTTTTGGTAAAGACAGTCTCTCAGTTACTGAGGATCAGCTGAACTGACTGCAACACAATTTTCCTGCACCCAGATATCTCAGTTCTGCGTTGGTTATCTCCAAAATGAGCCACTTCTTCCCATGATAAGCCCAAATTAATCTGATCTTACAACTGAAATAGATTCTGGAAGAAGAAAGAATCTTCTTTCCCTTACTTCCATTGTCCTGACCTTCCCTGGGAGTTCAGCTCTGCTCCCAGGATCCCCCTGGCTCTGTGGATGGTGGCAAACCCTCCCGTCCCTCCCGGGGGTAATTCCTGACGGCAGCTGTGCAAGGAGCAGCAGGAACAGCTGGGGGAGAGGAAAGCCCTGTGTGACACGAGCCAAGCCCTCTGCCAGAGGGACAGCTGTCAGTGACCACCTGGGAGAACATCTCAGCCCAGGGTTTGCTGCAAGTCACTATGGAATTCTGGTCTCCAAGGACTCTAAATCCGCCGGGAATTTCCAAAGCTCTTCTTCATTGTTTAATCTGCCTGCGTTCTGTGGGGGTGGAGCACTTCCCCTCAGCCCAGTGGGTGCACAGCAGAGTCATTGGACAGGTACCTGAGCAGTGCAGGCTGTGACAGATCTTTACACAAGCTTAGGCAGAGTTCTGAGTTTCCTGCCTCCCATTTTTCTGTGCCTCACTGTCTGTCAGGCACATGAGGCTGGCTGAGGGGAATTCTGGGTGCAGACAGCAGGGCAAGCACGACCTGAGCGAGGTTTGCAGGTCCATCTGC